TCTTGAAGTTGGACTTGCTATTTACAAATATATCGTACAACAATAATAGTAATCATCTAGTTGTCGCAAATGACCAGGAGACATTGTAGATAAAAATTACAGCACTGTGTAATAACAATAACATCTACCCAGCAACCTGTTGAGTCCCAATAAAAACACTGGATTAACACAGATTTACTTTTGACAGCAGGGAAGCTGTAGATGTTATGTTAAGCAATAAAATCAGATCTCGCATTATAACAGATTGTCTTTGTTGTGGTGTTCTCTGAATTTGTCAAGACACTCTGTTAAACAGCTAATGACCCACAACACCAGTCACCATGCCCCCCCCTCTCTGCGTGCGGCAAGTTAACAGAGTTACAACTTGCCTTACAAAACATTAAAAAGGGAGGCTTTGCTCTGCCCCTCTGGTTTGATTAAAAATAACGCACATTTCTCTCTTCAACTTGCGTTTCATGCCTGTCCCGTTGAAAGGCTTTTCGTGTTCATTTTCCCAATTTGACCACACAGAAGGAATCGTTCTTTCTTGCCTCTGTCCCTGACTTTTTACTCTGTCTTCATTTCAGATCACACAGGCCAACTCACGCAGATGGTATCCTCCCTGGACTCGTCATCCCTCAACCACATCACAAAAACACACACCTCTAACACCGGCAAAAACAGAAGTGACCGTACTAAATCAGTCACATGTATTCATGAAAAACAAAGTATGTCAGAGAAAAAACTATGTCTTCTTGCTCTTAAATTAATGAGCAACATCTTTACCCTTGCAGAGGTTTTCTGTGTGAGGGCGTAACGTCGCCACTAGCAAAATTCACCCAGGACCATGGCAAGTCTCCCAGGCCTCTGCGAAATGTATGATGCAGTACATTCATCATCGATTAATACAGGCAAACAACAGTGTTTATTATATTTGTCCTGTTTTCGTAATGGTGAGAAGTCACAGGTGCTCATCAACTTTACTGGCAAAAGGTCACTGGAACACGGAGTTGCCATACATGGTTTCTCTAATTTACTGTTCTTACATTGAAGACAACACACCTTTACGAATGAAAAATAGCTGATAATTGATATGTTGGATAAAGCCTTTACAATACATTATCATCCAAGAGGAATAATGTCTAATACTTAATACTTTTTAATGTAAATGTCACGAGAAAGAGAGAAAAATGCTCATCATATTTCCTAAAGCCCAAGATATTCAGTTTAAAATGATATAAAACAGAGAGACCTTGACATAGCAGTTTTTTTTTTTGCGTGATGAAAAAACTAGTATTTGATTTAATTGTTTCAACTCAACGAATCATCAAAAAGTCGGTTTTACAAATTCAGCCTCCTGAAACGACACCAACTGATGCACTACAATGTTTATATAGAAAGAGGAAATTTCGCAATTGTTTTGTGAGCATCCGCACATCTCATTGGTCCTCGTAGAGAGATAGGATTGCCGCAGAGAAGAAGAAAATGATAATTAGAAGCGAAGAGTGGAGACATACCACACTTAAATGCCTTAAGTCTGTGTGTTTTCTATTCACTCGCCATTGATGGGTTTAGCTGAGTCAAAGGCGTTGAAGAGACTCTGACTGCAGTAGTGTCTCATTGCGATGCTGCGAAGCAGAGGTCGCCTGGTCACTAGAGCTTGTCTGTCCTCTCCGAGATGCAAATGTATGTCCGTCACTGTGGGATAAGATGAAAACATGCATCAGAAGCGTGCATTTCTGAGTACATTTGAGGAGTAATGCTGTGCAGCGATTACATGCATACGAGTGTCTGTTCGATGGGTTTAACCTGGAAGCGTACTGACACCACAGCCCACAGATCTCCTCTCCCAACACATGAAACTTCCGCCATGCCCGCGTTCAGTCCTTAACTGCGGAGTGCTGGATTCCTCAGAGGTACAGGAGTCCCTAATTCCATTCCTCAACACTAACTATCGGCTCGAGCACCAACGATGCTATGGGATCCTCAGTAAAGGATGAGTGCCTCCACTCTTATTGAGCTATCTATAAAGCAAGACATAGGTTACTAGTGTAACGAAAAAAGCATATCTTAATGCACAAGATCAACATAGATCTCCACGAGGGTCACAAAGTTGTACATCACCTCCACACATGGATTTAATTACCTCTCATTGATGAAAGAGTGTGATAAGTCACCTATATGCCTTCAGTATCCGTGGACCCGATCCAGGATCATGAGATCTATTAGAACGCCAGAGAACTGCTCCACCAAGTAAGGAGGAAGATAAATATTATGTCAATAATGGTGGTCAGAAATTGAGTCAGCATAAAGCTTGCATTGTAATGCGGATTTAGGGCTGCGTTCTGCTCATGGTGATAAACAAAAGAAAGCAAAAAGGTTCCCCTCACTATCTACTTGTCCTGCTCACGCTCGCTTCTAAAGTTTGTGCATGATGAAGGCACATACGGTGCGGAAGTGCCTTAGGCCAATCTGTTAATTTGCTCGGTTGAAGCATCGTGATAGGGCTGGGCTGTCTCCCCGTGGCGTCGCGTCTAGCTGAGTTCCACCCAGCAAGGTGTAGTTCGGTATGTGAAAGAGGGTTGCTCATCCGTGCCCCTGGGCACAACCATCTGCGACGACATGAGGAAAACTATTCACTTTAGAAGCCAAAACAATATACACTTTAGCAGGCAGTCAAACGCATTAGATCATTCGTAAAAACAGCACTCAGCCGTTTGTTTCTTGAGAGTGTTCTTGTTCCTTGTCCTCGTCTCATACATATTTCTCCTTCTCTCAACATGTCTTTCGGTGAGCCTATAGAGTCCTGTACGGTTCGTAAGGCGCTCGCGAACTGTCATTCAATCTTTCTCAGACTGCGATTTGATGGAAACAAAACCAGCAAAATAAAAACGTTGTCTTGAACATTCAATTGACTAGTTACCATGAAGGGAGACTGTGCACTGTGTTGCCAATTTTTAGGACCACCTTGCTTTTTAAAGTTATTTGGCAGTGTCTAATATAAAAGTCCTGCAATGGATTACATGTGATTAGACAATTTATGATAATCTTAGAGACTGCAGTTTGTGCTGTTGAACTGTACTGTGTCATAGTTGACGTGTATTTTCTAATATTTGTGTACAGTGACGCTGAAAATGGGGTACACAAATAATAGAAACACTGTACAGCTAAAACTGAGCGTCACTGCCTTCTTAAAGACATGATTTATTGCAGGGCTGCTGCACTTTTACTGCAACAGTTTCAGCTACATGCAACAAATTGGGGAGTGTCACTTTCCTTCCTTGTTGAACTGCAAATGATATAGACAGGTTTATATTGCACATGTTACACACCTCCCCTAACAACTAACTGACTCATTGAATCGCCTCAACAACGCTGTACGTGGTCTTGCCCGTGCTTCAGGGCCACGGGAGTCTAGCGTTGAGCCGAGCTTCTCAACGCACCTTCCCCGCCTCTAAACAACCACCACACCGAGGATTCAGGGCCTGCGGCGCCTTCCGGCAAGCTAAGCTACACCTAGCAACACGGCACATTTCCTATTACAGAACACAATGTACTCCCTGTTGTTGCTCCCATTTGTTTTAAATGCACACGTCTATGCGGACCTCGCTCTTCGTGTGGGTTTATAAGCACTACAGAAGCAGTGCAGGACCATGCAATGAATTCTGACACACCTCTCTTTTTACACGCAACGCGACAGCTTCTCATTTAACGTTAAAGCTCCCGGTGGTGTGCAGTCGCGACAGGGAGCCCACTCTCTGGTAGATACTCCACAGAAACTTTTCATTACTCACGCGTCAAATTTGTTTTCATTATTTTCTAGGTGAGAGTCTCTCGGGGGCCGACCACACCTCCTGAATTCCGCAGGAAGGTGGCGCGCACTGTGGACGCGAAGTGTACGCGCACGCCATTTGCTGGCTGGCGCGTGGTGATGAGAGCGTGGAGAGTTCAGGGTGTCTCAGCTTTCTCTTGCATGATAGAAAGTCACACATGTGTAAAGCCAAAATCACATAAAAAAAATATGACACACAATAGCACCAAGTAATGTTTTAACATTTTATTCAACACATCTCATACAGCTGAATTCCCAAACCAGTACCACTCTAATCAGTAAGCTTTTTAAAAGTCTGTTAACTGTGGCTCAGTGAATAATCAGAAACCCTTTGGACTTCTGCACACACAGACATGGGTATGAGCAGGGAGCCACAGCACCACACATACAGCAGCCTCAACACAAAAAGGGCTGGCGGCTTCTTCACATGACCGGCTTCCTCTGATGTGCCGCATCCCTCGTTTCACCCCCCATCCGTCCGCTTGTCATCTGTTCTTGCGGTCCTTCAAATGTGGTTTGTGTTCAGGTCCAAAGCAGGGCTCTGGACCGAGTCTAGGGGGACAAAAAGGGAGGGGGGGGTGGATGGGTTGAGGATGGAGTCAGGAACTTTGAGGACCTCTTTAGGTTCAGCCTGACTTACGGTTAGTCAGGATAGTGAGCGGGTTAGGGGATGAAGGATTGAGAAAACCCTGTGTCTGTGTCCAGAGACGAACAATTCAAGCTAGCTAAGGAGCAGATTGTCCGGCGTGAAGGGGGAGGGATGGGAGAAAAGCTCTGGTATGGTATGGCATGGTATGGTTGTGGTGTTTGGTTGGCTCTGCTGGTGGAGACCAGCCCCTCACCCCTTGCCCCCTATGCCTCTGTGAGGACCTTCATGAGAGGGCCTTTGTGCCGGCGCGCAGGCGCACCAGTGAGTGAATGAGCAAAGAGCAGTGGCGGCCCTCTTCAATGGCTGCTGTTGTTTACACCAAGCCAGTCCCGTCATACTTCATTAGCAGCCCAGCCCACGACAACCTCTGATGTCCTAATCGCCCATGAGTGTGTTGCTGCCCATCAGCCCTGAGCCTCAGCGGTTCAGATAAAGGCTTTCTAGGATTCCCGACACACACATTCCCACTAAATCTCTCTATCTGCCTGCCTTCTTCAGCCACTCATGCTGCACACACATGCGCACACACACACACACACACACACACACACACACACACACACACACACACACACATACACAGCCTGTACGGTGAGGGTGTATGGGAGAGCTGGTTCTTTCATCGTGGGCCAAGAGGCACAGGGAGGTGAGCCGACGTCAGTGGAGCAGCAACAGTCCCAGAGAACTAGCTTTGCATCACAGAGATGTGAGAGACCTGCCGCCCAGAGAAAGACAAAGCAAGACAGACCGATTATTCAGTGCTGCCATCTTCTGACCACAATCACAGACTTTAAAATATGTATGTAAGCTATGCATACGCCCAATTTGTTGCACTGAATTGCCCCTGGTGCAAGATTTGCATTTGTTGAGCTTTACTGGAGTTAAAACACAGTGTGAGCAGAGCTGACAGTAGAGTTTCTTAATGTAACAATACTACGGCTGCAAATAACAAATATTTTCCATGTAGATGTTTCTTTTATTTACTCAGAAAATAGTAAAAGGAAAAGTCAATCATGACTCCCCAGATCCCAAGGTCACGCCCTCAAACTGTTTGGTTTGTCAGCAATCTAAAATCTTGATAACTGAGGAGCTGGAAACAGCAAATGTTCTTTACATACTTCACATATGATTTAAGCAATAAATCAGTTACAAATAACCTACAAACCTCCTGAATGGCTCTCCCCAGCTTCTCCTGACTTTTCACCACCTTCCTGAAAGAGACAAACATTCAACTATTACTTCTGACAGTGATGTAACCTGAAGCTGCTGCTATTTCCTGTGTAATAACATTGTGACCAGAACGTTAAGACAGGAATAGGGCTAACCTGTGTATTCTGCGAGCCAGGCTAAGGGTGAAGTTTGCTGAGCAGTCGGGTTCATAAGTGGACGGTAATATGGTGTAAGCTCCAGGAGGAAGACTGCAGGCCAGACTGACATCCTGCATGTAACAGTGGGGGACGCAACTGGCCACAGGATCCTCGTCCCTGGGGATCGTCTGCACAGATGCTCCTTCTGGGACCTGGATACAGTACATCGTCAAACTCAGATACTTGGATAGACTTACAAAAGCACTTTACATTCATCATTAACTAAATTATCATTTCATACAGTGTAATAAGTTTTTATAAATATTTTATAAGTTGGTGACAGTTGTATTGTCATTTACTTAAGCTCATCAAAGTCAAAGTAGATATACTTATACATACACTCTGGCATTCTTATTGTGTTTAATCTGTTTTGTCTATGAAGTTGTGTTTAGGACTATTGGAGAAAATTGACTGAAGTAACACTGGTGTTTTCAAAATGTCATTGATTATTGGTGGATAACTGGTTTCCTCCTTCAGTGACATCTTCAGAGACATGAAAACTACCTGAATTCATTCTACCAAAAGAAGAAGTTTTCTTGTGTTTATTTTGTTACATACAAGTTATTATATACCAGTGCTGCTTTGGACCACAGCAAATAATTGTAAATAACTTATCAAAAAATCTTTCCTAGCAAACACAATTGTTCGATTTATGTTTTCTTATATGAAGCATCTAAGTTAGATGTGACAGCCTTTCCAATATCGACGTTACTATCAAAAAGAGTAAACATTTGATGTGAATAGAATTCACAGCAGAATGACTGGGGGGAATGTACACAGAAGTAGATGTCCATCTAACGCCTCTAAATAACGCCTGGTATTCTCCCTTAATATGTGACTAACCTTGTAAATGTGAAAGCCAACAGGGTGCAGATCAGTGTCAGGGCGGTTCTGCTGCAGGGTAATCCTGACATTAACTCCTGATGTCACTGCTGGGTGGTCACACACTGTAAAAGGGAAGCAGGGGTTCTGCCAGTGAGACAGGAAGTTCCTGCTTCCTCCGGCCGTCCTTCCCTCTACCCACGAGCCCCGGAAGTAACTGGTCTCCCACTCACCATCTGTTGTTAATGGCAGTGAAGGTGCTGGGCTTTTCAGGGCACTGAGAAGAACACAGACATTATTAGGTCATGAATAATTCAATCATACAAATAAGCACTTTAAATGATGAAATGCGACACTAAGAAAAACCATATTCTCTGAAATGTGTAAGTTAATGGCTTAAAGTCTCCTTCCTGCTGTTTAAAAGGATAAAAAAAATAAGTTTAATTTACTATTTGATTCTTTTTTCAATTTGACCAGCAGGTGTCACTATATATCTACTATCTGTACACTCTGTTCTGACATGTCTAGGCCTACAGTTTATTAATCTGAGATCATAATTAGTTAGTTGGTTTTTTTTTCTCAATAGACACGGTGGGCTATGCAGGAAGTAAAATTAAAGCACATGAATGTACCTGAACATTTTGAAACTATAAAGTTCAACATTTGAAATGAAAAAGAAACACAGCTTGGATGGAATTTACTTTCTTTTCCCATTAACTGGTCGTTACCTAAGGGATATGGAAGAGGAGGAAAAGACCCTGATGAGAAAGCGGACCTCAGCGTCTGGCTGGTAGGTGCTGGGGATCAGCAGGTAGTATCCGGGCTCCAGCTGCCTGTGGAGGACCACCTCTCTCTCGTAGGCGTGGCAGTGGGTAGAAGCACATGGAGGTTTGTTCAACATCCGGCTCAGATTAAAACGCTTCTTCTCCACCTGGTGACAGAAAATTGCTCTCAAGTGACGCAAAGCCACAAACAAACACTGCATCGCTCGTTTCCAATGCGAATGACACCACAAACCTTCCACATGTGTAGAGCAGTAGCCTGGTAGTGCTGGTGCTTTGTGTTCTTGTTGTCCTCGAGCGGCGTTTGTGCGTATTTCTCTGTGTTTCTCCACTTCCTATGCTGCAGCAGGGACACCAGAACCTCTCCTCTCTCACTCACTTTCAGCCAAAATTTGGGGTTGGTACCATAGCTGCTGCTGTTCCGACTACCCCCAGCTGAGTGCCCTTTTATCCACCGGCCAGCCAGCTGATGGCTGTGTTTGAGCAGACTTCCTGCCAGAGATGAGAGTTTTCAGGGTGAAAAAGATGTTGCCAAGGAGGCCGGAATTAGAGACTGAAAGTAGAAAACCCTCTTGAACAAAATACAGAAATTACCAGTATAGATGCTCTTTAGGTGTCCGTCCTCACTGATGGGGTATCCCACTGTGACATCATCAAACTGCGACATGAATTCGGCCTCATCCAACCAGAACTCGCCCTCGGCAGCCCTGGCTTGTAGATCTGAAGCACAAACAGGTTCGATAGAGCTCCAACCTGCACCACTGCAGAGAGGGGTAGAAAGACTGAATGAAGACTAGGCCTGAATCCCAATGTCTGAACTTCCCCGCACCTGCAGACTGATCGGTAATATTTATGGCAGTGATTGAGGTCTGAAGTCCCATCACATGGCACAATGTGGCATAGCACGACAGCAGACTTGATGTGATTATGCTAAGCACTTCAGTACTCAAGTCCAGAGGGTGGACATATGGATTCAGCAAAACTCTTTTTGAGGTTGCACACATGTAAAACAGACAAATCTTTACTGTGACATGCCTTCCTACCTCTCTATCCAGGCCCCTCCCCAGCAGCATCTTCCCCAGGGGTTTCTGATCCTGAGCAGCCGTACTTCGCTCCCTGACAGCGTCTTCACATCCAACCACTCCATGACAGTCAGAGCATGGTATTGACCCAGCTCACTGGCACCTAGGACAAAGAGATCAACAGGTTATGTGACAAGTGATCACAAGATCACTTTTATCTGCAAGGAAAACATTTTTCTGACCTCCAGGGCTGCTGTGAGTGGAGCAGCTCAACGCACACTCCTGCTTCACAGGGTACAGAAGGTTCAGGTCCAGCCTTCTCCTCCTGACCTGGTCGCTGTCCTGTTCTGGTCTCTGCTCCTCCTCTGACCCCAAGTCCCCTAAGCTCCAGTGTTCTGCTAGGCCACCGGTCAAATCCACCAGGGCCTCAGACACCTGCCCCGCCCACAGTCGCTCATATGAGCCATGAAACCTAGAGAGGATGGAAGGGACAATAAACAGGATTTCCATACTTCACTAAACACGGAGTGCATGACAAGGTCAGAAAAACTTTCCAAAATAACACAGAAAATATTTGTCCTAGACCAAAGTTCATGGTAGGTTAAGCTGAGAGATAAGATAGGGAAATTCCACAGGCTACTTACTTGGCGTAGGCCTTCTCCAATAGAGCTACCCAAAAGGCAGTGGGGGAGTGGCAGCATGAGAAGCAGAGAGAGGAATTAATACAGGGCAGGCAGTCATCGATGGTCACCTCTGTCCAGTGTCCCTGCTGCCAGAAACGAAACTGGAAGAAGCCCCTGTACCTGCTGTCACCCCACTGGGGCTGGTCTGGGGGCAATACCTACAGAGAATCATGGACTAAGTCACTACAGCAGTACAGAATATAGAAACATCCTTATTTGTTATTCTAACAACTGGGCCAATGTTTTCAGTTCTCCATATTCTGAACAAAGAGTTACAAGACATTAAAAAAACCCCATTAAAATGCAGTTGTTGCTCTACCTTGTTCAGTAGATGTTTGTTCTTGAGCAGGATGGTGCAGGCACAGAGAAACCAGCAGTCTCCTAATAAGCCTTGTTTAGCATGACCCAAGGTGATGTTGTCAGGGAAGAGAACTGGTGACTGGCAGATCTCCTGGAGGTGTGGAATTTAAATGAAGGAGGACTGAGACATGCAGGTTTAAAGAAGACTTAAAGAAGACTTGCAATAGCCCTGGGAGTTGGGTTGTGAGGGGGGGTGGAAAAAAAGTAGGTGCAGAACTGAAAGTGGGTAAAGAATGTTGATTTCAATAAATTTGTTGTTGTGAACATGGAGGTCAGGGCCTCTCTCAATATTGTTTTTTAATGTTATCATTTTGTTAGTTGCAACATGACAGACAAATAAAAATAAAAACATGGCAAAAATATTGTCTGTTTCTTTTTTAATAGATCTGCTTTGTGAAATACTGAACAATAACTCTGAGCCTGTAGGCACTCTTTCATAATCTAGTAATATGGCAATAATAAGAGAAATCCTTCTGTGGTTGAACAAATAAACCTTTGACAGGTGATACAAGTTTACCTGTCACAAGCCAAAAAGGGATGAAAGCTTCACATGATAGTAACAACAGCATGTAAACGTTTAACCCATAACAAAGACAAACAAACAAGGCATTCACTGCGGCATTTCCCATTTCCCCTTGACAATGGATCTAACCTGCGGGCGCCGCCAAGTAATGTTTCCCTGCAGCCTGGCGATGGGTGTGGAGCTGTCAGAGAATAGGGACGTGTCGTCAGAAGGGAAGTCCAGGTCCTCAAACAGAGCCTCACCTCTGCACTCTGCCCTGCCCTCTCCTTTCATGGCTGCTGCGTCTTTTCAACCTGGATCCTACCTGCTGGGTCAGTGGGTGAACCTCAGCCAGCAGTGACCATCCTCACTGACCCCATGCACATTTTACACTTGTATTACACCTAAAAACAAAACAAACAAACCAAAAAATGACATAACATATTTATGAGATTTGTGGTACTGTGCAAAGATCATAGACAACAACAGAAAGTGGAGGTTTAACCTGTTTACCTGTGGTAATTTTTTCTTTTTTGTTTTGTGATTATTTGGACAATTGTATTATATGCATGTTATTTATGATATAATAAATGCTATTAAAATGGATATATAGTGTTACACCGTTGATGATATGTAAGTAAAACAGTGTTTTAGGGGGGAAACATTCGTATTTTAATGCTTATCCACTTCACACAACCATAATACAGTTAAATACAAAGACAATACGTTTGACCTGTCCCCAAAACTAAAATACAATGTTAATTACAGAGCAAATAATTATGTGGCTCTCTGTTTTATTACCTTTCTCCTCTATTAAGCATTTTTCCCCCCGTGACTGTCATTGTTTTCCTTATAACAGTTGCAGCTAGCGGTTGACGTTAGCATCTGTTAGCTTGTAATGCACAGCTGTAGCATCTCCATATCGCTTCATCTTCTCATGGTTTCAGAACTATAAACACAACGGGTTTTTATCCCACAACGCGAAAGATTTCGTCATGAGCAAGAGTTATATCCAAACCAGATCAAACATATCATCCCGTTGAGTATGAAAACACTTCCGCCTGGACATCCAGCTCTTCATTCATAAAGTGAATCCTTCCTGTGCTGCTGAACACTCCTGCCACCTACTGTTGATACAGGGAATTACACACTCTATTAGGTAAACCTGCCTAAAACCAATGCAGTCTAATAGAACAACCCTGCAATAAATACCACCTTCACTAAGGCTTAAACCAGACATGTGTTGACTCAACTTTAAGATCATTTCAGAGGCTGCAGTTTGTTTTTAATATGAGTTTAGACTAATTTTTGGAAATACTTTAAACTAGTAACTAAATAAAATCTCAATGAAAGCTGAACAATATGGTGATGATGACACCAATAACAACAATAATAACAACAATAATAATAACTACAACAAATATCATCAGTATTGTCATAACCTTCATCTCTTAGACTACATTAGTATAAGCTTGGTGAACCTAATAAACGGGCAGCTGAGTGTGTATTTGCTCAAGTACTGTCCTTAAGTAGCCTACTATATTGAAGTACTGGCAGGTCTGCTTCGCTTTCCACCTTTCCTCCCATCTTTATATTATTCTTTCAATTTTAATTTCTTGTCTTCTTTCCTTCCTTCCTTCCTTCCTTCCTTCCTTCTATCCTTATGTTTTGCCCTTTTCCCCTTCATCTTCTTCTATTATTCCTTCTTCTCTCTCCTTTCCTTCTTCAACATCAGAAAGCATGTAAAGATACAACGTGTTCACCTGTCACTAAAACATGTTTCTTTTCGTCCTTACGGTGAGTACTTTTACTTTACAACCAATGTTTGTTCACTTTGTGAAATGATTTTATAACATGACTAGACAGAAATTGTTATGTTGTAAACTATATAAAACATTGAGTCCAGTGGTCAAATATTAACACAGAGTCAGAAGATTATTTAAAAAAATATTCAATTTATTGGCTTTAAAATGGCATATTTAAAGAAATACAAAAATATTAAATTCATTGACGTTAAAATGATACATTAAGTTCATCTTGTGCGACTTTGTGTCTTTATGGTCCATTAGTGTAGAGGCTGCCCAGCATTTTTTTTCTGGAAAGACAAAAAGGAAAACATGAGATAGATTCACATATGATTGTTGAGTCTTGGTGTAATGTTGTAGTGTCCTAGCACAGAGACACTGTAGGTTGAATGGAGAGATGAACTTACTCTGGCACAGACTCCATGGCACGTTTCACCCACATTGAGTCAGGGTTCACACATACAAGTCTGTTTTTCACTGTTACAAAGCTGCATTAAGACAATGGAAGACGTTCAGACACCACAGCAATAGCAGGGCTTACAGTTAACATATACTTAGTACATGATAGTAGTTTTGTTTCAAATGCCTTGATTGTTTTTCTTACATTATTGCCTTGATGTTGCAGAAATTGTTGTCCTGGACTACGTAGTATCTCAACCTTTTGAATGGGATTGGGTTTTCATTGTACTCTGTGCAGCAAACCTTCACTTGACCTTTACAAAAGAAAACCACAAACATTTCAGCAAAGAAAGAGGCCAAATAACATATATAATGAGCTCAGAATCTACACAAAAACATATCCTGTGTTCTACTAAATCAATAGAATTAGTGAAATTAATAATCATGAGTAAATCATTAAAGTCATACTTACTGCTTTCACTCTGCTCCACCAGCGCCACCACCAACAGCAACAGTACAGAGACAAACACAGCGAGCTTTGCCATCCTTACTCAGCTTCTCTTCAGCAGTGATTCAATTGTCTGATCTGAATTCTCAGATGGGATGAACTGATAAAGTTTGTCTCTGGCAATGAAGTTAATATAAATACTGCGAGAAGCGGAAAAGCACTGCCACAAAGAAGAACTTACATGGAAAAACCACTGTAATCCAGGTCAAGCAGGAAGTATGACACATGCACTTTTACCCATAGTGATGGCACAAAACCCCCTATTCTGCGGGATAGTACAAAGAGATGCAGTATACACATATATGTGTTACTTATAAAAAAAAGGATCCTGGCATGATGGTAAATGCTGGTTATTCCTTGAATGTAAACACTATTAGATACAATGACTTGACTACTTGATTCATGCCATTTTATGCTTCTCACTATATATGCGCTCTTCACTATATTTCAGACTGAACTATTGTCTTTTGTACATATATTTGAGAGCTATAGTTACTTTGCAGATTCAGATTTCACTCACAAAACATGCGATCAGTTTGTAAAATATGATGTATTCTCATAAATTAAACTACATTGCTGTATATAAAGTGGTTAAAATTTGTTCCACCAACATTAAAATGCTCCTTTACTAATCTAATCTAATCTAATCTAATCTAATCTAATCTAATCTAATCTAATCTAATATAATATAATATAATATAATCTAATCTAATCTAATCTAATCTAATCTATTCTAATCTAATCTAATCTAATCTAATCTAATCTAATCTAATCTAATCTAATCTAATTTAATCTAATATAATATAATGTAATGAAATATAACATAATATAATAATACAAGGGATATATCTCCCTTGTATTATTATATTATTATGAGTACTTTTATCCTTGATATTTTAAATGATGCTGCTAAAACTTACAGTTTCACTCAATATTTTGAATGCAGTACTTTCACTTTTAAATAGTACATATTTATGTAGATGTTTTGCCAACTGTCACTGTTAGTAAGGTTGTCTCATTGAGGTCAATACCTGTTTTCAAGAGAGACTTGAGAACAAGACACGTATGATGTACAATACCATACAATAGTTTGACAGCAACCCCAAACCTCACAACATAACATCCTGCTGACCTTGTTGCTGCAAACAAACATTATGGGGCAATGTAGACGAGACGTTTTGTCTCTAAGTATGATACTTATTTTTAAATATTGTCCCTCCATCCAGTTAGCATTTACAATGATAATATAATTCGTCAATCAATCTTCACAGTGTGTGTGTGTACAAGAGTGAAATGCAAATACGCAGCTTGGATGAAGTACATTCAACCACAGTGTAAAACAAGAGAAAAGAAACTTCAAGTCAGCTTAATCATGTTTTGTAGAACAAATCATTTAAACATATAAAATTAATCTTCAATCTTTTAATCTTAATCTTTTTCATTTAAAAACCTAATTTAAAAAAAAAAAAAATGCAACAAATGTATTAAGAACATCATGTCATACAGTCTATGGGAAAGTCCATTTTGAAATGTCACAGTAGGACACATGTAAATTCATCGACATGAATAATAAAATTCCAGCTGCAGAAGCAAGTGATTGTGCAGTTTTATTTAGTGTTCTTTATTATTCATTTAAGTCAAATATTCAAGTCGAGACAACTCTAAATGTGTCAAGTTTACAAATAAAAATACAATGTCAAAATATCAAAATGTTATTGAAAATAACATAACAATAATAAAATCCACATTGATGTTGAAATACATAAAAAAAACACTTGATGTACCATTTCCTTAAAACTGGAATTAAAACACTGAAAATGTCGGTCATTTCCATTCCCATCAAACAAGTCCAGATCAGAAAGGTTGAGGGAATCAACAATGACACAACAAAATGAATCAACAAAACAAAAACAATGATCGCCTTCTAACGGTTCAATATACTAAGACTGGACAAGTGAATTCTGTTCTAACAGTGCAATAGTAATGGTTGAACTCCATTTAGCTGTTCAGTTTTAGGGTCTGGTGTTGTGCATGCTGACACACTGTCATGGCTTACTGACTTGAAGAATAGAATCATTATAAATGCTTTTAGTAACACCTGCCCTTTTCCTACAATGATCGGTCAAAATGGCCACTGTGAAAAAGATCTACCCCAGGTCTGACCTTTCTGTAGCAATCAAGGGAAATTATCCTCTTAGCCACAGCTTGCAGGTCCTGGAAACCTGCTATCTCAAACTCCTTACTATAAGAAAAGGGGTTTTGGGTTTTCTAATAGAATTTGAACAGTTTTGGTTATCTCAGATGATTTGTAAGGTTCTGTGTGGCGGCTCTTCTCATTGGTTTGGAGTGGGCTTTGAATAAAGACCTACTGAAACATCTGCTCAGAGGTGAAGAGTGTAAACGCTCCTCTGCTTTCTCTGCTTATGTGTCACTCGATGTCTTATTGTCACAGAAACCTGGTTTCTTAAAATACTCCTTTCACTGATGGATAGGTTTATATTTTGTGGGCATGCCAGTGTTGTATTAAGAGAGACTTGAAAGAATCTGAACCTTTAGGTCACAGGGAAAATTCAGCCCCACTGTGTCAGGATGTGTCATCAGAAACTAAAGTCTGAACTAAGACAAGAACGAGGGACTACAAAGGCGCAGATATTTATAGGACGAGTCCAAGACTGTAAGAAATGAGTATCCCTGCGGTCAGATCTGGCCTTGACTTTAGAGCCGGTCGGTGATTAAAGAAAAGTCAGTATCCTCTACTCAGGAAAGCATTTTTGTCTCACAGTTGGTGCGGAGCAGAGACAATGATTAAGTTATAATGTTCTCACAGCAATACAATATAAAAAAGCATGTTACAGGAAATAAACAACGTGTAACTCAAGCTTGGTGCGGTTTTGGTGGAAAGTTCGCGATGAAAAATTTACTGACTTCATCTGTATCGTGACCTATTTCAGTGGTCCAAATACATGTTTCCCATCAGATGCATGGGTCTTGAGTATATAGTAAGTGTTCCTCTGACCTAGAAAAGAACCTTTGTGCACCCTTGAAGCAACCCACTTGTAGCATCCCACATCAAGCCCGTGCATAATGTGGCCTTCAGTGAACCTTCTTCCTTCATCCTCTCTGAAGTCTTCAAAATGTCAAACAGTTCTGTTTAGTTAAATGTATTCTTTTCTCTAACTCTTCTTTAACAGTATTATGTACATGGTGAGAGTCACTCACACACCTTTGTGACTTTCCATGCTGCACTGGTTCTACAGGACTTTTTGTTTTATTGAAGGTGTGGTATGAGAAGACCTAACGCGTGAACCAACACCTATAATTACAGATATTTTATATTTTCAGATTTGGTCAACATACCAGGTGATTGTAAGTTTCTGTTCTATTCTTTTCTATTCTGTTCTATTCATATTCTTTATGTTTAAACCGTAATTCTGTAACATAATTTAATTCAAATTGACAGGGGCTGAATGATCATACTGGTTGTTTTTAATCCCTCCTCTCCAACTTGATCTTTAAAGACTTTCTAAATTTTTTTGCATTACAAAATTTCTATATCCTTGGAGTTTAATATACTGATATGATATGTCTTTTCCCCCCATCTTCCCCTTTTCTTTCACTGGGGAAAATGAGGGGGGTTTCTGTGGTGGTGTAACACTTCTGATGAAGTTTCCTGTTTCTCTGAGGAATATAAAAGGCTGCTTTGATCAACACTTTGTCACTCTCTCACTCCACCTGTGGACAGGCGAGACAACTGCTCAGCTCAGAGTCACTGCTGCCAACACAGAGGAAGACATGGTGTCAATCAAAGCGACAGCAATGGTGGTCACACTCACTATTTGTCTGCTGGCGGCAGACACATCGGCAGGTATGCATCAGGTTTCCTCTCTTGTGTCTGTCTCCATCTCTTTCTCTTTTATTTTTATTCAGTTGGTTTATTTTTTTTTTCCTGAGTGTTACACAAATTCCACAGAGTTGCAGAAGCCTTTTTTTTTTTATCTCTTTACTTTTTTCTTTTCAGTGTCTGATCAGATTGTCTTTTCTCTTGTTTCATAGTGTATAATGAATGCTGTCGAAGGTACATGAAAACCAAAATACCATTTGCTTTAATCAAGGGGTACTCAGTCCAGACACTCACAGAGCTGTGTCCTATCAATGCCATTATGTAAGTATCAATAAAATGATGTTCGTCACCTGCTCCTGAGCAAGGAAAAGAATAACAATGAGACATAACTTTAGTGTTTATGGTAAGCCAATAAATATTCATCTTATTTCCTTCTTTTTAATTCTATAGTTTCCACACATGGAAGGGAAAAGCGTGCACCAATCCTGCTTTGAAATGGGTGATGGACTATGTGGAGCGTCTTAGGTAAGATTTCTCACAGAAACTGTTGCAGCATAACTGCCAAATATAATTCTGCAGTGAGTGAAATGTATTTTCACAACAGAAAGAAAACTATTAATAACTCATCATTCTTTATCTTCATTGCAGGAATAAAGCACAAATAGTTCACAACAGGACCTCAAAACTGCAGAATTAGACTTCAAAGATGACAAAGTTTTTCTGCTTTTCAAAGGCGAGACTGAAACTGTTTTCCATCGCAGCTTTGCCTGTTATCCAGTAACCAGTGGTGTTATGTTAATGGTTTTATAATTCAGTGGACTCTTGCTTAAGCTGATAATAAAAACAATGGAATACAGCCATCAGCTCAGTTATAAGAGCATTTTATATTATGTTATATTTTTCTATCATTTGTGTATGACATATTTTGTATTTGTGCATGTTGTAAAATACAATCATTAAAGGTTTGTTAAAAAGTCCAAAGTCTCTTAATGAAAACACTTCTCTGTGTGTGTATTGTTGAATCTGTACACAGAAATTATAACGACAAGTGCACAGTTCCCAGACAGCATAACACCTGTTATCTTCTCCAATCTGTTTATCTTTCTCACGGTGAAAAATTCCAGCGCTGGAAGTTTTGTGTCCTGTCACAAAAATCTTGCAAATAGTTAACACAAGGTGGTGAAAGTCCTGTGACATCAGCAGGAGGAAGTCATGGGAGCTGTTTATTCAACACAAACAGCGGAGCTGATAATTTCCATGCTGACACACCGGTCACCATACATGCTAGCATCAGCTGTGATTGAGTATAAGGCTTTGTTTAATTAATATGCCATGGTGTAATGATCTTTTGCAGAGACCATCACTGCTGTAGTAGTGTGTAATTAAGGAACTATCAACTCTGAAGGAACTATTTAAAAAAAAAAAAAAAAATTAAATACCTTAAAAGGGCAAATTCTGACCTTCTGAGCCAAGATTTCCCCTAAATTTCCCATTAAATAGGTTAAGAATAGGTTAAAAACACATTCTATTACAATTTTATGTATAAGCCTAAATCTATTCTGCATTCTGAATGAGGTTCCTCATTTTTTTGGTCGTTACATCAAATGGAAAAATTGAAGATGTCTTGTTTCATTTAGATTTTTTAAACACATTTTCTCTTATTCCAGCACGACATTTGATCATGTAGGCCAAATCCTTGGAAACACACTCGATCATTATATGGACATGGGTCAATCACATCTCCAGCAATGAAAAAGCTCAGTGTTCTCTTACTTTCTTAGTTCAGCAAGACAATAACTGTAGCCACATGTGACAATTATGGAACGATGGTAACTGAAGCACAACCAGAGAAGAGTCATTAAAAATAGCAAACTCACTCTGGTGTCAGTTACACAGTAATGTCTATCTTCAGTACATGTGTTCAGTGCATTAAATTGCTGCTTATGAATTCAACTTTTCATCCGTAAGAGTTAGAATGTGCTATTTAAAAAGTTAAAAGTTAGACTTAAGTTTAAATAGATCTCAACTATATTCACTTTAAAGTCGAGTCCTCTCCCTCTGTGGGGCAGAGAGCGGTGCAGCTTGAGGCTGTATGAAAACAACAGCTTTTCTACTTTCAAATGAGACAGGAAGCAGCTGCATTCATCCCCACCAAAGATTAATCAATTGTCTTTCTTTGTTTTGTCAGAGTGCTGTTGATTATAGCTTAAGTGTTTATATTGACTAGTTGTGCAGTTCAGTGCAGTTTGTTCAGTGCAAATCTTGAAGTGCTCTTGCAGTCCTGCTCGAAAATAAAATAATTACTCAAACAGACTGGGGGCAAATCAAAATGGGGAAATTGTGTGTGTGTGTGTGTGTGTGTGTGTGTGTGTGTGTGTGTGTGTGTGTGTGTGTGTGTGTGTGTGTGTTTTTTTTAATTAATTTGCAGGCAGGACACAGCATCACCTCATTATGAAATTGTCTTGCGGCCCATATCTGGTTCCTGAGCCAGTGATTTGAGACCCTGCTTTAATTAACACTGGAAGGTCAAACTGAGGACTAATAGCCTAAGAAATAAAACAATAATACAGTGTTCAGGGGTTACCTTTGGTCTATTAATGATCAAATTCCATTTATGTCCTTCAAACATACTTATCCTAATAGCAATGTGATAAATACGTAGTTTTTATGTAAATAAGTCTCTAAAACTTTATTTATATGTAGCAGTTAAAAGATATAAAACTAGTGTTACAAAGCTCGACAGTTACAAAAGAGATGATAAAAAGAATTTGAACACATTTTTAAATCAAAGACAAGCAAAACATTTTGTAGAAGCTAATTATATATAAAAAGGAGGAGAAAAAAAATGTATAAATAAAATGTCTGCTGTGGTTTTTGCTTTCATTGTTATTTCCACAATAAATCAGAGTGAACCATCTGCTTTATGCATGATGTAAAAAGCCCTTTGAACACTAGATGGAGGTAGTATCACTTCAAAGATGAGGTGCTGTGAAATAACATTTCAGCAACACTTTCTTTGAAGAGTTCTATGGGTAAGTGAAAATGTTTTCTCACACAGCGTGCTAATGTTCAGCGCTTGACATCACGCAATGATGAGGACTTTTAACTGCATCTCCATACTATTTCCTTCACTTCAACTCTTTAAAGTTTGCAAGGCGGAGCCCTTGAGTGGATTTCAGGTCTTTGAAATATCATTTTAGGAGTTTAAGCTGCTAAAAATGACACTTTTATCATAGATGTGCTTCATGTCTGGTCCCTGGCCATCAGCTGTAGCTGTTGGCAACACCAACAAAGCTGAACAAACTGAGCGTTTTCTCCTGTCGCATGAGTCCATCCCAAATGACAGTCCGGAGCCACGCTCGCAGCCACTATTACATCACCTCCACTGTTCTGCACCACTGCACAGAGTGCTTTTCTATGAATAATACAGAGAGACTGGGGAGAGAGGGACACGGACATGGGGCATGGTTACTAAATGACAGAGGGAGCACATACTGTTAGATAAAGTGTGATAGAGTGTACAGAAATATGGAGTTGGATGGTTATTCCAGAGTAAAGCATCACTAAATATGAGTTATGTGTGTAATTCACACAGTGAATAACCACATCAGACGCTAATGCCTGGGTCCTGATTTAACTTTATTCAATTACTTTAATAAAAGCAGCCATAAAAAAAACTTACAGCAAATGTCAGCACTTCATGAGAACATAAAACACATTCCTACATATAGATAACAAGCGTGTGAGCTGTGTGTTTACACTACATGGATTACTGATACAGGGCACAGTGTCAGAGAGTTGTTACAGAGGGGTACAATGAGCAACGGCAGGAGAATGGCTGGTCCCAGACTGTCTGAAGGAAGACAAGGTTACAGACTGTGTTTTCCTGTGAGGGAGCAACTTTAGTACAGAAGGAAAATAACATATTGCACTCTGAGATCAGCAGGCAGGTCCTCGATCATAGCATACGTGCACACACACACACACACACACCCACACAGAGGCGCGCAGGAAACCAGACAGTCTCTCATGAAACTCAAACACAGATAATGAAACATCCACCATCAGAAAGGTGAAAACAATTTTCTTTCTGCATTTGCAAATTGCTTATATCCTGGCACATTTGGAGCAGCACCAGGAAGAATATTATATAAAATATACTAAAAAGTAGATAATAATTTTGCTGGTGCTATAATCTTTCTACCTTTTTTTTTTTAAATTTATTTCCCTTGGCCTCTTTCTCTTTGTCAGTTGCTGATTCTTGCTGATTCTTGCCAGTACAGACGTGCAGTAACACAGAGTTAAGTGAGCTCGGTATATAATTAGACAAACAAAAAAGAGAGGGATGAAACATCCAAAGGAGAAGAGACTCCAAATGATTACACATTCACTCCGCTTCCTTCCCCCTTGCTGCACACATAACCACCAATTAGAGGAGAGGAGGATGAGGACAAGCAAGCAGCCTGAAGTCTATTTGTGTCTCTATCTCTCTCTCTCTCTCTTTTTCTCTCTTCCCCTGAAGACTCCCAGCGCCGGGGTGGGAGAAAATAGAAGTGAAAAACAAGAAGTATATAAATAAAGAAATCAGAGTGTTTCACATCCGGTCGGCTGATTGGCTGGGACGCGAGTCAGGCAGATCTGGGCCACAGTTGCACTCATTGTTCAGTGAGCTTTTCTACACAGTCCAACCCAGCGACAGCAATGAATGTTGATTGTGACCTTTGGTCTTTGGGTACAGTGGAAACAGAGTGTCGCTTCTGTGCATGTGCGTGTGAGTGAGTGAGTGAGTGAGTGAGTGAGTGAGTGAGTGAGTGAGTGAGTGAGTGAGTGAGTGAGTGAGTGTGTGTGCGTGTCTTCTTTGGATTTGCATGCGCCCACTTGCCCTTTTGTTCATTTTTTCCCCCCCCTCATTCCCGACGTCGTCAGAGCGAGCCACGGGGCACAGTCAACGGTCGATGGTTTTTATGTGATCCATACCAAACTCACCGACAGCGTTGAATGTTCACCGAGGCAGGCAGGACAGCGGCCGTGACCGTGAGCCGAGCTGACAGATGAGGCAGTGCGAGGAGGAGGGAGGACAGACAGTCAGACATGCAGGGGAGAGGGACAGGGACGTCACTCAAACCACGGAGGTCAGGTCGCACAGCGCAGCAGGGACATAATGCCACAGGACAGTGGCAGAATGAGTCCACTGTCCACAGGGCAAAGACACTTCTCGTTATGTTACACACAGAAGAAATCATGCAGTGTATTATAAGCTGGAAGATAAACTGGATCTGCTTTACTGCATTACCACCACGTGATTAATCAGAGCAATCTGAAGTCTTTTATCTTCAGGTCTAAACTGGCCGTGACAGCATCTGAAACACAAATGAAGAGGAAACTGTTAGCACAGATACTGTGCTGTATTTTTGTCTTTAAAGGGTCACTTTAAAAAAAAGAAAACACATTTTCCTTTTGTAGTATCTAGTCATGCAGCTAATTTTGGTTTTCTTTGTGCAGGATTTTCACAATATCTTTCTCTGAGATTTCTGTTGCTACCCCACTACAATGGAGGTAAATGAAACTTGTTGTGGTCACTGAATTGAGAAATAAAATTTAAAACATTCAGCAGCAGCGTGTCTTTCCAGCAACAGAGGTCCCGGCTGCTGTAAATAATCCACAGAAATCACATCTCAACTGTTTTCATAGCGGCTATTTCTTCAGGAGAAAGTAGCTCCAGTAAAAACTGAGGATTTTTAGTAACAGTGTTTCTGAAACTATTGATTTTTTTATTTTTTAAATAACCCTGATCAATGCAGTGAGCAGCACAGATGAAATTCCATTCACCTCTATTGTTTTGTGGTGTTAGCAAAAATCTTAGCGACAAATATCTCAAAACCTGAGAAAATAAAACCAAGGCAAACATACTGCTCCATTAAAAGTCTAAAACCCTCTCTCTGCGGATTGACATTGCTCAAAACAATATCA